ATGAACTATCCCATTGTACCCATTTCAATACTAACCCCTCTGTATAAAAGACTGTTTAGCTACTAACAATCAATTTAGCAGAATAAAGCTACTAAAGTTGATATTTGGCATGTGTCTATTCATTAAAATTTAAAAGAATAATTTTATATTTACAAGAAAAAAATATGGGAACCAACTATAATAAAATATTTATTTACTATTCTATAAATAAATAAATATGAAAAGAAATTTATTTATAAATTTATAAATCTGTCTGTGAACAAGAAATTGGTATTTTTCGGGCATGTCTTTCATTTGCTCTCTTCACAAAGAAGAAAAAAAATGGTTGGTTCACTTTACCACTCTAATAAGTACCTGATTTTACTTGCTATCCTCTGCCTTTACAAGAGCCAGCTCAATCAAAAATGGAGTAATGTTATTCGATATGGACAGGAGTTGCCCAGTCCAAAAATGTCTCCGCATCCTTGTGTGTGACAAATTATTTTCCACATTTCCACATCAGATGAACTACACATTCCTTAGTCCCACCAGTTTTAACCTTCATATCTAAGACCCACCATACCACACACATTGTAGTGAATCATCCTTGTTCACTTTGTATTCCATTGGTGATATATAACTTTCACTAGAGTAATTTCTTTCTACAAACTGCTACTTTGTGGAACCACTTCTCAAGAGGATGCTTCCCTGATCATTACAAGTCTAGGGTCAACCCTTATCTTCCCCACATATCCCCATTAATTATGCTTCTTACTCATACACTGAGTGACCTTGGCCTTGTGCAGAGTGAATATCATTATAAAAAAAAATTAAATAAATAAAAATAATTATGTTTTAATTATTTTTAAAAATCGGTTTCATCTCAGAAAAGCCACTTGAGTGTAGAAGAATTAGGAACAGAAACATTAATAATGAGCAGGAAGAGAAAAGAGTAATCAGGAGGATAGTAGATAGCAATTGACATTGCATTTAAATTTTTGCAGATTAAAGTTGACTCTGAAATCATGTGAGAAGTGCAAGAAAAGAAATGGTTAGCATAGAATTTACAGTTACAGCTAGCCAGCTCAACTGTAAATTGATGAAATCTCAATGCTAGTCTAGTACTGTGCTTAAATTCAAAAGTCTAGGTACCATAGCAACGATCTCAGCTGAAACAATTAACATGAAAATATTTATAGAAAAGTCACAGAGAGGCAACCTTATAGTGGAGGGAAAGTGACTGAAGCTGAGCTGCCAGATCAGGACCAATAATTGGATTTTAGTATCCCCCTACCATTACCTAATGTATATCTTATATTCCATCAAATATGCAGCTTCTAAAATTTCATAAAATTGTTTGTTTTTGAAATAATCAATATACAGAAATTAATCTTTATGTTCTAACAATAAAGAATTGGAAAAAGAAAAAATAATACAAACCCTTATGTCTTGAATTGACATTGTAAGGCAATTTGTGTCTTTTGAATTGCCTGTAACAATCACAGACTCCACACCCAAAGGAAAAGAAAACATGTAATATTTGGGCTCTGTAGGAGTCACTGTAACATCTTTTTTCTCACCCAATCTGAAACAAAAAAATACAAAATGGGAAAATGATATTCAGTAAGTAAAAATGTTTATTTTTACTGAACAATTGAATTCTTTTTTTGTGGGGGGGGATTATAGAGGATGAAGCAAAAATACCTTCTACATAATAGTAAGACATTAGCTAGATGAAAATACCAGTCACTAATATCTTACCAGTATTCCTGGGTGGTATATGTGAGAGGTATTTCTGCCACACCCTGTATATAATTCAATCTTTTGGTGAATCAAATCTATTGAATTGGCTAATAATTGTTTTATTTTTATCATTAGATGGCATTCAGAGCATTTCAGTTTAAGAATATTTTAAAAAAAACAAGAAGGCAAAATTAATTGTATTGTTACAATTGTTGTATGAAGATGCATTTTAAAAATGTCAAAGTTGGTATATTTTTTCTTTATTCACTCTAACACTGAAAATAAAATAAGTATCACCTTCACTATGTTTTTTTTTTACTTTTATTTTAAGAAAAAATACAACTCAAATAAAAATATAATGATTTGCACAGTTTATGGAGAAGGTGATGTGAATAATCAAATGTGAAAAGAGTGGTTTGCAAAGTTTTAGGCTGGAGATGTTTTGCTAAACTATGCTCTATGGTTGGGTAGACCAGTTGAAGTGAATTGGGAACAAACCAAGACTTTAGTTAAAAAAAACTAAAAAAAAACATATGAAGTGGGAAATAGCCAATATATTGGAAATAATTAAATCACACGACAGAAATCAGGTGTACCAACTTGTTTACGTTAGCTACTGTAACACAACTGCCATTTAAGTTAAAAAAAAAAAAATTAAGACAGGATGTTACTTGAATTTTCCAATTTTAGAAAGAAATTATAGTGGACAATGAAAAGTAAAACTTACAACATGAAATTGTGGTGCAAGTAAAATGAACCACTATTAACTGTACTAAAGTAATGTTGTTTATATGGTGGAATTAGAAGGGATTCTTCTATTAGATCTTTGAAAAGAACCAAATGGTTGATTCAAACAGGTATTATATAGTTGCATAGGGCTTAGGGTTTAAAATGAACAGTTGATTTACCCAAGCCAAGAAGGTTAATGAAGGATGTTAATGATGAGGAAACACACAGGTAATTTTAGCAAAAGATAAATTTATTTATGAATCTACATGCTTAGAGTAGTGTCAGCAGCTTGTTTCAGGAAAATAAATCAGAAATTTTTAACATTTATAGTTTTTGCGCATTGTCATAAAGAGGAAATGTTCATACAACAGATTAAATGATCTGACAAAATAATATTCAAAAATGATTAAAACAAAGGTAAGAGAGTTTGCTGCTCAAAGAATGGTTATACAGTTGCATATGTTCAAAAATAGATGAAGAGAGATAGTTTGAAATATTAGCTTTCTTGGGTTGTTGAGAGAAAATTCTTTGAAGTGCTGCATGCTTGGTTAGAGGCTGATAATGTAATTGGAGAATAATTTTTACATTAGCAACATGGTAAAAACTTCAATGCCGGACACAAGGAAATGAAACTAAACATTTAACATGACTTCAGATATTCTTCTCTGATTAATTTTTCTCCTCATTTTATATTAAAGAAAGAATTTTGCGTTGGTTCGCTACTTTCTTTTCCTTCTTTTATTTGGCTAACCATCTAATTTCTGTGAAGGCAAGGTTTTCATTGGTCCAAAAACAATTTCACATAGGCTTGCAAATTCCTTTCCTACTTCTTCCACAGTTCTCTGAATTTGAAGGGAGTGGGTGAAGGGAGTTATTATTATTTCATATTCACTAAAATTAATCCCAAGTAAAAGGTACAATTAACAAAAACCATTTAGAATTTTTTAAGAGAAAAAAAAAAGTAACATTTTTTCTTTGGTGACTAAGAAAGGATTAATCTAAGGGGTAGATTGTCCTTGTCCCACTAACAATGCCTAGGGATATGTTGTCTAGTTCTTATTTAGTACTGTTCAGTTATTGCTCACCCTGTTTCCACTAAGAACAATCAACTCAAACACCAACAAAGATGTGGATATTAGTCTACATGTAAATAATGATAACTGTTCATCCCAGAGATTCAGACTTAAAAAATTTTATTTGCTCATTTATAAAACTGATATTTTTCTAAGATTTTTAATAATGTATCAATATTATAATATCGCTTTTATACTGAGAAGTTTCGAAACTGTTGGCCTATGTTTTTGAAAGGGATTTATTTTTAATAACAATTCAACTCAGTTTTACTTTCTAATCAGGATGATAGAACAATGAAGACTGTGTAATATTTGAAGACAGTAGTGCACATCCACTTATCCATGATTTTTGCTTTTCAGTTAACCTTTATCACTCTGTATGTGACTCCATTTGCTGTACAAAAAGTTTATCCTACTACTGATGGTAACTCTTTTCCTGGAACAATAGTATTTCAATTTCATAGTTTGTTGTCATATGGCAACAGAAAACTTCTAGTGAAATTAACAATAAGGATAATGCAATTGAGAGGCCTTGACAAAGAATGCAGTGGAAAAGGGAGTAATATTAATAATGCAGAGTGCTAAAGGTTAACTTTGGTCAATCCCAGAAAAAAAAATAATTTATCAGTTTTATTTATTTATGATTCCAAAGTGGAAGTCAAGTGAAGTTGACAATTCAACTATATCAGAGAAATTGTAAAGTGCTTCATTTAAGTGACTTAATAAAGAAAGAAAAAATTATATGCTGATGTTGCTAAGATCTACAGAACAAATGAAGGGTCTGTCACATAACTTTAATTACTATTTACAGTATTTACAGTCAGACTGTTGTCCTCATCTTTATTTTTATTATCACAACCCTTTAAGCATTGTGCTTTTCAATCTTCATCAGGAGCTTGTTGATCCAAGTATAACCCCTTTTACTGCTGTCTACACCCGGTGGTGTAACCACATTTAGTCGCCCAGTCCTCAGAATCTTAGGACAACGTTTTAATCACAGGGCTAACTCTGCGCTGATCACTGCTGATGCTGGTCCAAGCTGATTGTTGCTCGCTGGCCACTTCCATCCACACCAACTCTGCCCATGCTGTATTCCTGATCTCAGAGTATTGGAAGATCAAATGTCATACTAATTGTAGCACTGGTTCAACACTCTTTAATTTTTATATATTATCTTTGTGATAAATTATCAAAGTAACCCAATTTATTCCACTTGATGTTGCACAATAAAATATAGTCATTTCATAAGTAATCTCCTCCATTCTCTCATTTCATAAAGTAGCTTATCAAAAATAAATAAATAAAAAAACCTACCTTAGTTCAAAGTTTTCAATTAAAGATGTAGTTAAATAAAAGTCTGTAGAATTTTCTGCCAGAGAGCTGACCTCAATTATGATGTCCTGTTTGGGTTTAATGTCTTTTCTGTGATTTTTGTCAACAGGGCATAAAGTTCGACTCACTTGATAAAATTCATACCTGGGAAGGAAAAAAGAAGGATCAATTCAATATCATACAATATTCTACTCTAATTTTTTTTTTTTTTATCGTTTCACCCCAAGCAAGACAGGAGTGCCACTAGTATGCAGGGGATTACAGAGAGTGAAAGTAAGAGAAAAGATTGGGTATAGGAGGGACTGGAGAAATGGTAAAAAGAAGAATGGGGATCAAAGCATCAAAAGACGATGCATTTAAATTTTTGAAGATTGTAGTTATCAGTGAACCAAGTAAGAGGAAGGGAGTTCCACTGATGGGAAGTTCAAGAGAAGAAGCTGTGGGAGTAGAAGTGGTGGTTACATTTAACTTTTTCAACAGTAAACAGGTGGATCTGAGAAGCCAACGCTTAAATTCATATAGTTGGGACACTAAGGAAAATATCTCATCAGAGCAGTTGCCATGAAAATATTTGTAGAAAAGACAGAGGGAAGCCACATCACATTTGTGAGAAAGTGACTTGAGTCAAGATGCCAAGTTAGGACCGACTACATTGGAGATCCTTCTTTGAATTTTATCAAGGACCTCGAGATGAACAGCAGGGTCACCAGACCATATATGGCAACAGTATTCAATGCATGAAAAAAAATGGTAGATTTGTAGATGTGTAAGTTAAACCCAGATGAGAAAAACCTTCTGGCAAACACAGAGAACCAAATTTCTTTGTGGTAGATGCAGCTATTGATTCAATGTAGTTGTTCCACCTCAAGTCAGTGGTAAATGTGAGGCCAAGAAGGTACAGTGAGACTCTCTTGTGAAGTTGAGCATCAACCATGTTAATAGGAGGCAGGGAAGTTACTCTATGTTGTTTAAATGAGAGCAGTTTTGTTTTAGAGGCATTAAAATTTACAAGCCATTTCCTGCCCCAGTTAACCACCTATTGGATGTCCTTTTCAACAGCAACAGCCAGGTTAACTTTGTTAACTCCAACAGATTTGCTGTTGAGACAGGAGTAAATAGTAGTATCATCTGCATAAATGCCTACTTGGGAACTGATGACCAGGAAGATCATTGATGAAGATCAGAAACAGCATAGGATCCAAGATAGAGCCTTGGGGGATGCCTGCATTCATGTTAAAGGGACTGGAAGAGAGCCTGTTCAGGACAACCTTCATTTCACAATTTGATAGGAATGACTGGATTAAATTAAATAATTGTTCTGTAATACTGTAGCCCTGAAGCTTACATAGAAGGCCAGTATGTGAAATCCTGTCAAGTGCCTTCAAGATATCTAGAGTCACAGCTCAAGCTTTGCTGTTATTATCAAGAGCTTGGTATACATATTCAATTATGACTGTAAGCACATCAGTGGTAGACCAGGCAAAATGAAAACCATATTGTTTGTCAGAGAGTAGATCATGAGAGGTAAGATGCTTAACCACTTCGGCACTGATTAAAGCCTTGAAGACTTTGCTGAAGATTGGTAGGAGACTGATAGGGTGATAGAAGGGTCTCCAGAATTCTTAAAAACACAGACAACAGACAACAGTCTGAAAAGCAAGAATCAGCAAGACAATAGTTGTATAGTTTGGAGAGAACTGGAGCCAGCGCAGGAGCACATTTTTTAAGGACTACAGCTGGTATCCTGTCACCTCCACTTGCTTTATGAGAGTCTAATTTAAAGATGATGTCCAAGACCAGCGACAGGATAATGCACATATCACTCATGAATATGCTTGCAAACTCGTGTAGAGAGATGACCATGTCTATATTATCGGAAATACTGTTGACCATGCAACAATCTTGAGAGGAACGGAAACAGTAGAGAAAGAAGAGATGGCTTACTGAATTGAGAGAGAGACGGAGACACATATACAAATGGTCTGGAGTTTCAAAAGAAAGTTCCCTAGCCGGAGATGATCTTGAACAAACTCCCAGGCCATGCATGTGAATTTTAGAATCCTTTCTAAGGAGAGCTAGGAATTGAGAAATCAGAGGAAAGGATTGACAAATTTAGTTTTGCAGAGAACTAGTATGTCAGGAAACTTTTTGAAGAGGAATGATTCCACACTACGGAAGTTGGTACGAATACCATAGCTGTTGGAGAAAGAAAGCTTGTTGAGCTGGTTTAGGTTTATATTTTTGGTTGTTTATAGTCATGATGAGTTATATTGTTAAGGAAAAGGCCAAGTGTAGTAGTAGCAGTTGGTCATCAAATGTAACATGAGCAGAAGGGAATTGGCACAGACTGCAACATAGTGTGGCCTTGGTCTTGCCCACCAAAGATGCATGTGGGAACACCTGTCCATGTGCAACATGCAACTGCAAGAACCCTGATATCATGCAACTGTTCATCAGAGCAAACTCTCAAGATGTTACACAAGAGTTTGGCCTTCTAACTACCAGTCGGGAAGAGCAATCAGAAAACTTCCAACCCAGTACCCTCAGTATGAAGAGACATTGCCACCAACAACACACATAACAAGAGATTCATGACAGCACCACCACCAAGGCCAGAGAAAAGGAAAAGAACTGGAAAAGCCTTTCTAAACAGGAAACAAGGGATGAGCCTATCTAGTTCTATTAAAAAAAAACAACAATAAACAAACTAACAAACCAAAACAATCAATCAATTCTGGGATTGGTATTTATTAGAAAGAAAGAGTTTCACTTAGAAAACTCATCTGGAGAGCCAAGCTGAGAACCACAGATGCCTCAGTGCAAGATATGAATGCTCATGAGCTAGAAGACTAAAAAGACCCATTAAGAGGAGGACAGAGTAACAGGGGTTGCATGGGGATTCATGTGCATCCACTAGCCCCTATATGGATTATAATAGATAGTTACAGGGCATAGACATGTAGTTGGCAAGTTATCTATTCAAAAAAAAAAAAAAAAAAACAAGCAGACTTACAAAGGAGAAGCATAAAAATTGGAGTGGTGTGGGGTATGGACAGAGAGTCTGAAACTGTTATAAAGTTCTAACTTAGTATAAGTTCCAACATTCTCTTTTTTGGCAGGAGAGAGAGAGAAAATAAATAAATAAAAAGTTAAATAAGTAAAAGAATGAGAAATTCAGAAAAGTGAATTAACATTACCTTCATACATTCAAGACTGGCAACAATCTTTTTAAAAAACTAGTAAAATTAAACTGCAATCATTTTTTTTAAAAAGAAATTTGTTTGGGGATTTAAGCTTTTCACTTGTTCATTTAATGTTTGAAATAATAAGAAATAATATTGCATTAAAAAGTCCATTAATTATTTAAAAATTATTTTGTCAATTTTTCAGGTACAAAAGTGAAGTTTGCAGATTTCAAAAGATCCAAATGAAAAATGCACATTTCTAAAATAGTGCAACCAAGCATTTCTTTACTGTAAAGTATACCTGATTTAAAGGTGGTTTCCCAGATTAAAGAGAGTTCAGGTTTGATTCTTGTTAAAAGGCACATTTTCTTTAATAAGATTTTCAATTTCTATGCTTGTAGATATCCACTCAAACAAATATACCTAGTAAATATGATTATATATATTTTTCATGACTCTTGCATCTTCTATACAAACTGGATGCTGACTGCTTGATGATTCCAAGCAGACTGCATAAATATGTTTTCTGCACATTGACTCTTCACATACATCCACTTTAACCAAAACAAAATATTATATTATGACCAGTCAGAGTCACTCCTGCTCAAAAACTGAAACCTCAACCTGGCTAAAAACTATATATACCCAAATTGAAACAAACCAGCATTTGATGTCAACACTGACAAGCTGAAAAAGAGATGCAACACAGATCAGAATTCGAAGCCAACACCGACATTCTAAAAGAGAGATGCCATGATGACAATGGCCACCACCAATATCCATTTCAATTTTATCACTTTCCCTGTTGCTTTAGCAACAGCAACAGATAGAAGTTACTAGATTTTGTATACATGTAAATAAATTATATATTTATTTAACCATACTCAATGTCCTACCTTGTTTGATGCTCAGATTTACATTTGCAAAGGAAGAGAAGGAATTAACCTCCACAACATTAACAACAATAACAAGATTCTGTCTTCCAGATTACCCATTTCCACCTCCACAACAATATAATTACATTTTTAGGGAAATCTATGACAGTGGAAAAATTTCATGTGACATGTTTTGTCCTTTATGACTTCATTGGACTAAAGTGATGTTTAGGTTGATAGTTCAAGGAGAGGGGACATTTTACATTAATTTTTTTTTTAAATATATATTTTGGGTAAAATTGTTCTTGATATGTAAAAATTTATATATTGTTTCCTCATATAAACACACAAATATCTTAAGCTTTAAATATACAGATTTTACCATGGAACATTTAAGGATAGATTTAATTTGGTTTGTTTTACGGCATATCAACCTCAATGGGCTATTTAATGCCGACAAAATTTTTATTGCTGGAATATATTTTTTCTTCAAGAAATCTATAGCTGGTAATATTTTTTTCAAAAAGTGCATAGCTGTTTGTATTGCTGGTATTTTTTTAAATTTTTTTTAAGTATTGCTGATAATAATTTTCATTCCAAAATTATTGCTAGTAATAAGTTATTTTAAAATGGAACGCTTCATGAATTTGCATGTCATCCTTGCACAGGGGCCATGCTAATATTCTCTCTACCGTTCCAATTTTAGTATATGTACTGCTGAAGCAAGTACTTTAAGGATAGAATGATTGTATAAATGTGACAGAAACTAAAACATAATGAGTGTGTGTGCAAATTTGTTGGTATGCATCAATGTATTGATTTATACATAAAAGTCAATAATAAAAAAAAGGAAATTAATGTAATCAATTGTATTCATGAAGTCATTGGACAATTACATGCTTGATTCTGACTGCCAACACACACAAACTGTTATTGAATAGCATTTGGCATATTCCAGAAACTGCACCAAAGTAGACAAAGAATATAAAGATTTGCTTTGTTACTTCAGGTGAAAATGCTATATATAATATTCTTTTTAAAAATAAAAAATGTATGGGAATATATATTTTTTCTCTCAGCCATG